GGGTTCATGTAAATTATAAGTTTGCTTAAATATGAAAATACTAGGACATTGTAACCTGTCCTAATTTAATTAAGTATACACAAGGTAATTTTCAATCCACGTGAGTTTAGAACAATGTTTACTTTCTTCTTTTACTTAAGTAAACTAGAGACTTTAAATACTAATTATGTCCTAATTTAAAATGAACAATGGCTATAATCTACAAAGATTTTCACTTCAAATGAAAATAAATCTAGATAATAGCTAGACCTCTAAGCTTCCCATCCATACTTTCAAAGTGGATTAATTGCATACAGGGTGCTAGAAATTTAATGCCGAGTTTAGTTAACATCAAACGTTCATAAGTCGTTTTTTTTAATGGAACACCCTGTATATTTTTCTATGTTCTGATACACAATGTTATTCTCTTTCGAACGGTATCAGGGTTCCCTATACCTATCTTTTCTAGTTTTTAAGTTATCTACTATTTTTTATGTAATCACCTAAAATCATGTAATTTCTTGCGAGGATAGCTAGAAAAAAAATTAACTAGATCTTGTTTTTATGAATGTAACAAAGCTGAAAGCTACGTACTAATGTCCTTGATGCGATATCCAGAAAGAAATTATAATCATTATTAACATTAAGTACTCCCTTTTTAAACATTAATTAGGAATGTTCAACCACAAATGTCTGTAATTTCAGGAAAATTGCAGGAGAAAATCATAAAAATTTACATTAAAGAGAATATTCAGTTATATTACTTTGTTTCATAAAAGTTCTGAATTTTAATCTGGATGAGCCCTGTTTTACTGCAAAAAAATATTAAAGCCAAGTGTACCAATTGCTTTGAGAGACTGTAATATTTTTTATAGAACTGGATCAACTGAGATAATTCACAGAACATAATATTGTTATTGAAAACTTCATTTTTTATCGGGAACAAAAAAGAGAATACAACATTTCGTCGTTGATCGTGATAAACCTCCGATGTGTAAAATACCATGGAGGGAGAGAAAACAGCATTTCCCTATTGCTTTGGATTTAAAACTGTAAAGAACTGGCGAAGAACTAAAATAATAACAAAAAGTTCCCGATGAATAAAAATTATGTTATTGTAACTAATCATTAACCTGAAATTATAAAAAATGCGACTTTTATTACATAGGAGATTTTAATCGTCCCAAATTAGCACATAGGACTAATTCTTAAAAATTGTGTAAACACCTAGGAGCATTTTTCTAACATTTTTTGTTATTTTGATTTAAATAATAAATCGTATATGGTACAACATCATACTAACCAATGAAAAACATCTTATGTGGTATATAATATTCGTTTAAAATCTCTTGTGTGGACATATCAAGTTGAAATAGTACATATTAAATATTTATGTTTATGTAAGTTGCTAAATAAATATGAATTATTTTGATTTAATTTTGATGCTCATAAATACAGACTAAAGAGTTTTTAGAGAAACCTTAAACAATCTCTGTAATCTCTTTCAGATATGTATGTCTTAAGGTATCCACATTCTTTCAATCTTCTTGTTTGGTTTACTGTTACAGATTGACTTATCAACTCCGGAATGATTTGTGTGTTTAATCGACTTGTTGCTTTAAGTGTTTGTGAATAAATAAATGTCTTTATCCATGCATGTGTGGGAAAACATTCTATAAAAATATACAGAGCAATATGAGAAAATACAGAAAAATTATGAATAAGGTTGACAGGAGGGAAAACTTTTTTATTTGTTAGTTTATGAAAAAACACCATTCTTGTTAAAAAACAGGGTGTCTTCTACAAAGAAATATTTGGAGATATAACAGTTGGTTTTATCATTAGAACTTATTATAATACTGTGCCAGTTTTATTCAAGTTTACCCTTAATAAATGTATTAAAAAGTTATAATGTGAAATATAGACCCCAATACTTGCCTTCTTATTACTAGACATTGTGTGCTACAGAGCCTTCATAAATAATTACAAGCCACGTGACCAGTAATTTTGTTTGAAATAGTAATTTTCTTTTCTTCATGTTGCAATTCAATTTCGGTAAAATTAAAAATTACACATTTGGTTTGAAAAAAAAACTGGACTCTATCTAGGTACCCAGGGGTTTTTGGGGCCGCTGATTCCGATGCCGAGGTCGGTTAAGTTCTATCACCTCAGGTTGAAGGTCATTTGAAAGTCAAACTAAGAAAAGGTGATTGAAAAAATCTGAAAAAATGTATACATAGGTTTTTTGGGTCGCTGAGTCTAAATCCGTCGGTTGCCCTCAATCGCCTCATGTTCAAGGTCGTTTGAAGGTTAAAGTAAGAATAGGAGATGAAAAAAATGTGAACAATTTTTACGAAGGTTTACCTGCCTATCACCCTCTGTCGGTTTTGCGTGATTGTACAAAAACTAGATAAAAAAAACTCTTGAAAGCCTTCAACAAATTAATTTGCTTCTCTCAGCATAAGTGTATTAATCGAAATTCGGCCGAGAACGCTTATGTTGTTCCCGGAATGATTTTCGAATCGTTTTTCCTTTACGTCCTTTAGTTGAGTCCCTCTTGAGATTCCAGCAATAGTCTGCTAACATATTCATCTCCCAAACACCTTGATATCTTTGTTCAAACTCATCCAGATCCTGGTGTATTCTTTCTCTTTATTCTTCACTAAAAGCTTCCAGATTTTCTGGGAACCAATCAAGATGAGAATGAAGAAAATGGAGCTTCAGATTCATATAACATTAAGACAGAGGCTGGCAGAAAAACAGACAGATAGAAACATTTAGTTATTTAGTCAGACAGAAAGATAGACGAAATTACCGACAGAAAGGCAGGTAGAAAGGCAGGATGTCAGGTAGATAGACAGAGATAAAATCCAGGCGGACGATAAATACAGACTAACAAGCAAACAAACAGATAAAAGTAGGCAGGTGAGCAGTCGTAAAAATTTATTCCAATTTTTTTCACCTCCTATTCTTACTTTAACATTGAACATGAGGTGATAGAGATTAACTGACATCGGATTCAGACTTAGCGACCCAAAAAACCTATATATGAATTTTTTCAACCACCTTTTCTTAGTTTGACCTTCAAATGACCTTGAACCTGACGTGATAGAGCTTAACCGACCTCGGAATCGGAGTCAGCGACACCAAGAACCCCTGGGTACCTAGGTAGAATCCTGTGTTTTTTTTTAAACTAAATATTGGCCTATTAAGGAGGTATATCGGGGTCCGAGGGAAGTGAGGAGCGCAGGGGGGTTCCATGCTTTTCTTATGGGACTAAAACCCGCTGCCAATTTGAAAAAATTAAATTCTATTGAAATTATTTGCGATAAATATTATCTATATAGCAAAGAAATCTACTCATTTGCACATAGCATACATATTGACTAATTAACAACATAAAAATATCATATTTAAGTAGTTAAATTATATTTAATGAACGCATAAAGACTATGTAGATGTGGCAACTGCGCTAATAATTGACTAGCAGTTGTAGACACTGCGAACCTACAGACCTCGGACATCGGAGATATTGCGCGTCAAATTCGGGTAAAGATGCGTATACGTTCAAAAATGTATTGTGTGTAAACTATGTACAACATAACTATTATATATAGCAAATATATCGTATTATCCTCGCGAAGATTTGTATCCATTATTTAAAATCCGTAAATCATGTGCACTGGTAAAACAACGAGAATTATGTTAATTTAGTTCTAAAGAAATGAAATGACACTCGCGCCTATCTCTCGTCCAAGTCAAAGAAAATGTTGGATGCAATTTTGAAGGTTCTGTGATAGAAATTACACTATTACTCACTGTTCGTGTTTTTAATCTCTATTTTAGTAATGTTACAAAAGTTTTGCAACTATAACTAATTTTTTAGGTATAAAGTTTACTGAGAAATATTTATGTTCCTTTGTTATTCCGTACAAATGCTTTTATCTCAAGTATTACTAATTATATTAATCAAGTAATGAAAACTTTATGTAACCCTAAATATTGCTGGGTAATGATTACGATGTTTTTATAAACCATTAAATATATTAAAAGGATTTATAAACTGTATTTTTTATTCCAATAAATATATCACAGCTTCCTTGTATTTTTTAATTAATCTAGTTTTTTAAAAACATTACAAAAAATCATCTGTCGTGGATAATTTATTGTTGATAACAATGTACATACATGGGATTTAGGAAAAATTTATATGTTTAAAATCAATTTCGTTTTTATCAAGTCTTTCAAATGTATTCCCTCCTTGCTGTCAGCTGATTGCGGCATTGCCACATTAATCCTCAAGTCAGACAGAAATCCAATTATTGGTTTCTATTTCTAATTAATACAGCTGTATTATGTTCAAAACTTACATTAGTTTTACATAAAGGATAAGATAATATTGTGTACTATCTATGGAAAAGTTTTGTTTCACAATTTGTACATTTTTTTTCTCAGTTATGGGCAAAAAAAGAGCCTCCGTCCATCTTCGCCATATAAACCTATGTTAAAATGAACAACTTTCAACAACAATATCTCAAAATCTAGATTAAAAAAAAATTCAAAAAAATACGACGCACAGAGGGAGCACTGGATAATACGCTATATAAATTTCAAGTACATCTGTGCATTTGAGTAAACCCGATATACCTCCTTAAAACAATAAAATCAAAATTACATTAAAACACTACTTTCTGTTTCACCGGCTGCTGTGATTGGTGTAATTTTTCACGTGATTCTACTCAACCATTCAGTGATCGCATTATCTCAAGCGTAGACGTAACAGTTTGTCATTGTTCATTGTAAACGAATCAACAATATTGGTGACGCCAAGATTTAGGGAATTTTCGTTACCAGTACAGCCCTGCGGTGTTGGTTGCCTAGTCTTGGCGGTCACGTGGCTTGTAAAATTTACGAAAGCTCTATTCTATTTGTATGTTACCTAACAATACCGCATCCCGTGTCTCAAAACTAAGGACTGCTGTTACTTTTCGAAACGCATTCTTATTGATGACTGTACTGACCTGTTAACCGGTGAACTGTCCGACAGGCGTAGTTCTTGTAACCATCCCCCGGACCGGCATTACTANCCAGTACAGTCCTATAACAATACCGCATCCCGTGTCTCAAAACTAAGGACTGCTGTTACTTTTCGAAACGCATTCTTATTAATGACTGTACTGACCTGTTAACCGGTGAACTGTCCGACAGGCGTAGTTCTTGTAACCATCCCCCGGACCGGCATTACTAATGTATAGGTCGCCGTTCCCCAGTACGACGTACTTCCCACCTATGTCGGTGTTGGGATAAATGTTGATGCTGTCGTCCTGTATCCAGGAAGTGACCATCACGTACTCGGCCACGTAGTTGGGTATCTTGCATTTGAGCACGGCCGTGTTGCCCGCTATAACGTATTCATCGTGCACTTGGATGTCGTATTTCTGCTTCACAACTGTAACAAAAACCGACGGGTAAAATTCATGTTTATATTATGACCAACGTAAAAGTTGTCGGTGGCGAATGTGCTCGCTCCCGCGACGGAAATTTAAACTTTAAATTGGCAACTTTAACTTTAACAACTCCGTTATGAAGTTTTGTTGTTTTGTACTCCGCGAACGAAAGCTCGGTGTTCTGAAATAAGGCTGAAAAACAAATAGTCCCCGATAATTCTGGGAGCTGAATAGCTAGCTGTGTTACGACTTTGTTTGCTTTGCTTCGTCACATCGTGCTTTCTAGTGCAACATGTTTCGTTTGGTCCATGCATTTTGCCTTTGAAAATTCAGAAGATTGGAATAAGCGCTTAATCTTATTCTTGTGACAGGTGTTATTTTAACAAGCCAATTATTTTTTTTAAATGTTTTAAAAGTCGTTGAGATGTGTTGACATGTGAGATGTATTTTACGTCAGCAACGACATGATATTCACATTTTTACTGAATTTGTTTTCAATGCAATCGTTAAAAACTAGTTACCACTCATTTTATCAAAGCTCTCGACCTTGTTTCAAGTAAAAAACTTGAATTGCCTGCTTTTGGAATCTTATTCATCCAAGAGAAAGTTATACCTATGACTATGTATATCATTTAAGGTTATTGGGTCAAATATAGGGCCTTTATTATCTTCATCTCTGATGTATTTTATGATTTTGCTTTTATCTTATTTCCTCTTCACGGATGGCATAAGAATATATAGGGTGTTTCAGTTCAAGTGAATCAAACTTTAACCACAAATAGAACTCAATAAATAATTCAGAATTGCCTTAAGGGTCTCACCGTTTTCACTGTACAAGGCCATATTGGTCGGTTGTTAAAATCATACTATTTACGAAATCTTTGGTATGCTTATAACAAATTCATTCAAATTTGGTGTGGTGTTAACATTTGCACATGTGCATAATTTACTGTAAAATTTACAAATTTCTGTAGGTCGGTCGCGTAGGAATGGGTAGTAAAGCGGAATTTTTTCACCCCAACGTCTACGCCAATGACCTAATAATCAGCTTGCATTCTATTTAAACTTGAATGTACGGAAATGTTGTGTCAAGACATTCACCACAAAAACCACGAAAACATTATATAATTGTAATACAAATGAGCAAATTTTTAACAGGGAAACAACATTTCGTGATTTGGGTGTAACGTTCGACTCCAATCTAACGTTTACCTATCATATACAGTCCGTACTGGCTAATGCATATAAAATCCCCATTATAATGTACATATTAACAATATACAGTGTGGCTACGATTTAGGTGACACAGGCTTATAACTCAGGTGTTAATTGACGAATCTTTTTCAAATTTTAACCACTTATGCAGATCAATGGGGTGGACATTTGAGGATCATTAAACTTACGTATATCCATAGGTGTGCGTTAGGGGAAATTAAAAGGGGGTCGATTTTTCGGTATTTTTTATTAGCGAATAAAATACGGAAATGCTGATGCCTTAGTCTTAATCAGTATCATCGAAAATATACCCATGTCAAGTTTCATCCAAATCGTATACTGGGTTGTACAGAAAATTCATTTAATACAAATGTAAATGATTTAGGTGACACAGGCCTATAACTCGGGTGTTAATTGACGAATCCTTTTCAAATTTTAACCACTTATGCAGACCAATGGGGTGCACATTTGAGGATCATTAAACTTACATATATCCATAGGTGTGCGTTAGGGGAAATTAAAAGGGGATCGATTTTTCGGTATTTTTTATTAGCGAATAAAATACGGAAATGCTGATGCCTTAGTCTTAATCAGTATCATCGAAAATATACCCACGGCAAGTTTCATCCAAATCGTATACAGGGTTGTACAGGAAATTCGTTTAATACAAAAAATAACATTGCATATTGTATTCACACAGTAATGCAAAATCCAGAGATCCATGTCAAATGATTTTGTTTAAATGAAATGACATTTATAATTTTTAGTTATTTTGACATAACACGTCAACAAGATTGTTATTAAAATTCCGAGTTTAAAAATAATTTATTGCGAAAAAACATCAGTGATGGCAGAAATTATATCTGTTACTGACAAAATTGAAATAATAAGAATTTCTGGAGAAACTGTTACATCGCGTGAAGCTGCAAGAATTTTTAATCACCGCCATCCCAATCGAACAGTAAGTTACAGTACAGTAGCACGAATTAATAAAATATTTAATCAGACTGGTAGTGTATCACATGTAAGACCAAAAGAATACCGACGAGCAAACTTACACGAAAATAGGATTTTAGATGCTTTCCGAAATAATCCACGACTAAGCATACGACATGCGGCATTGAATTTGAATTTAAACAAAGAGACCATAAGAAAATGTCTAAAAAAGAATAAATTGAAGCCCTTTAAACCAAAAATTTTACACACTCTTTTAGAAGGAGACAATTTAAGGAGGCTAGACTATGCTTTCTGGGTGCAAGGCGAATTTCTGAACGACAGAAATTTTTTGAAAAAAATAATTTTTAGCGATGAAGCTACTTTTTCTACAAATGGTGTTGTATCGACGCAGAACTCTCGATATTGGGAAAGAGACAATCCCAGGTGGATAATGAATGCTAAGAATCAGTATGTTTATAAAGTGAATGTTTGGTGCGCGATTTTTAATGATCGAATTATCGGACCCTTTTTTATAGAAACTTTAAACGCCCAAAATTTTTTACGTCTTTTGGAAACGGAATTTACTGATGTTTTGGACAATCTGCCGCTAGATGCTAGACAGAATTTATATTTTATGTTAGACGGTGCTCCTGCACATAGTTCGCGAATAATTAGAAACTGGCTGAATACTAATTTTCCGTTAAAGTGGATAGGGCCTCGTAGCCCGCTGCAGGACTGGCCAGCCAGGTCTCCTGATCTTACACCAATGGATTTTTATTTTTGGGGTACAGTTAAAAATAAAGTTTACACCAATCGTCCACAAAACATGGAAGATTTAAAACGACGAATAAGAGAGGCATGCCGAAACATTTCTTGTGAACAACTGCGAAAAGTAAATTGTTATATAAGAAAGGTAACAGAAGAATGTATAAGGAGAGATGGCGGCTACATTGAAACTAAGAAAATAAACTGAGTTTTGTTATATCTATTTTTTTTTGTTATCCAGTCTGTATTAGCTTATTTACATTTGTATTAAATGAATTTTCTGTACAACCCTGTATACGATGTGGATGAAACTTGACATGGGTATATTTTCGATGATACTGACTAAGGCATCAGCATTTCCGTATTTTATTCGCTAATAAAAAATACCGAAAAATTGACCCCCTTTTAATTTCCCCTAACGCACACTTATGGATATACGTAAGTTTAATGATCCTCAAATGTCCACCCCATTGACCTGCATAAGTGGTTAAAATTTGAAAAAGATTCGTCAATTAACACCTGAGTTATAAGCCTGTGTCACCTAAATCGTAGCCACACTGTAGAGCTTGCACAACCCAAATTCTTAAAATTTTTGGCATTTAAATTGGATAATGTTTATCCATGTGTTGGTTTTCCTCATGGTGACCTCCTTAAAAGATTTTCTCTAACATCATTGAAGAATCGAAGAGATGATTTCTCACTTTCATTCCTTCATGAGCTATATCAGGGTGTTATAGACAGCTGTGATTTGATTAGTTATTTATATTTTGATGTTCCTCGTGCAACATCCAGACATGAGCAGTGTTTTTATTTATCAACTCCTCATACGAATATTCTCAAATATACAGACTATGCAGTTACTATAATAATCATCGAGAGTCTATTTGCAAACGTATCAACAAATAATAATCATTGAGTGAACATGCGTTATATTCATGGTGATTTAGGTTAAGTATATTTATATACACATTTATTGAGTTTCGTCTTCTTTTTTTATATTGTGTTATTTAGTTATTACATGTATTATATTTTTTTGTATTTACCTATCCTGTAAATGGAATTTTCTGTTGGGTGGTATATAAAATAAATTAAAAAGTAAAAATAAAATAAAATAAAACATTTTGTATTAATTTATAATTCGACCCGTACATCAAATATGCCCTATGTCTTGTCACATTAAAACAATTTTAAAGTGGACATTAACGGATTCTATACTTCAAAATTCAGTATTTTGTTAAAACACTTCTAAATTAAAATGTAATCTCTCATTCCAATTAAAAGCGAAGTGTACTTTGCTTTACCGTCAAATTTTCCTTGGATTTATTTTAATTAACTCTTACTATTTACACTGAACTTGAGGATCATTAATAAAGACCTATGATTGGATGAGACAAATAAAATTCGAGTGCCCCTGTACAGAATGGATTATTCATCATAATTGAAAATAAATATGTAAATAAATAAATAAATAAACTCTGATGAGTGATGAGTAAAGAAAGAAAAAATTATAGTACATTTTTACAATTAATTTCTTTGACGAAAACTACAATGAACAATACGAAAATAAATTAATGATAATAATGATATTTATATGAAAAATATTTAAATCAAATCAAATCAAATTAATCTTTATTCATTCAATTGATCATACAATGATATAGGATATGTCAAAAATTGTACAGACATTTTTTAAAAAAGAAAAATACAATAAAACTACACACAA